TTTGGCCGTGGGCCCCCTCCCCGCTCCCCTCCCCCATGGGCCGTCCCCCTTTGGGGGGGTCCCCCCGGGGGGGATTTTTTTCCCCGCCCCCCCCCCCCCCCCCGTGCCTCCTACTTCGCACACCAATACCTGCGCGATCTCCGCCAGCTTTCGCCGTCGAACCGCGGAGCCCCTCTTCCCGCTCACGAACCCGAAGAAGACGAACTCATGGGACGGAAACCCGGCCACGCTCACGGCGGCGACCGCGGCGCAGGCACCTGGGACGGGAACTACGCGAAGCCCCTCCGCCGCGCACGCCGCGGCAAGCTCCATGCCGGGATCAGAGATGCCCTGTGTGATGTACGTGCAAAGAAGGAGGACATGGGCAGAGAAAACGACGCGGGCAGCTGCTGTGGACCTTTCGCTGGGGCCTGGTCGGTGACGATAGGTTGCACGAACCAACTCGTACGGCCTGCTGTCGAGACGGAACTGTTGCCGTACACCAAGACATACTGCGGACGGCTGGATGACCACTGGCTCACGGCCTTCGATGGCCATACGTGTCCTTTCGAGCCGGACTCGAACGGAAAAGCGTTCTTCTACGTTTGTGTCGTTCGGCATTCTGGCGGTCAAAACGAGGACCCCACGCTGGTTCGCCCCTGGAAGCCTTGTCCGACCTCAGGTGTTGGCGTGCCGAACTTTCTTTTTTCACCGCAGCGTGCAGAGCTGCGCCGAAAAAGAGAGGGGAGACGGGCCAAACGCTCCCCGAACGATCCCCAGCATGGGCCTCCTACAGTCGCTGCCAATCAGCCAGTTCGAACCAAAACCAAGCGTAACACAGAGACATCTATCTTACCGGGGTCCCCGCATCGCTCACGACTGCCACCGACTTTCCCCCCCTACCCGAAAGGGGACGCACCATGCGGGGAGAACGAACGGGACGGTAGGCGGCCGGGGGCGTACATATCGGGAATCAAAAGCGACGAGAGAAGGGTTGGAGTGAGGCACGAACCGCGGCAGGAGCATTATTCATAAGATTACTTCACAAATTCAGAAAAAAGCAGCGGTTTGCGACGATAAAACTTGTGCACAAGTTATGAGGGAGAGTAGTGGATATTCCCCGAAAGAGACGCGTCAAGCGTAATCTATCTCTGAAGGTTTGTGTCGAATCGGGCGGGACTGGTGAAAAATTCCAAGGCCATTGATCAGTCTGCTTCCAAAATGACGAGCTTGGCGATTACACCAGGCAAACTCCAGACACGAAAATCAAACAAACGCATGTCTTGACAAACGAAGCAAGCAAACAACCACACAGGACTAACCAGCACAGCGGTGCCAGAGTACGTTTCAACTGAGAGAGTATTTCTCACCTCGCGGCTTCCACGATCTCGGGCACGCGCCGCTTCGTGTTGTGGTCGTGGTGGCTTACCAGCCTGCCCTTCCTCTCCACCCCGAGCAGCTTGAGCAGACTAGACGAAACAAGTGAAAGTAGACGAAGGAAGCGGGTTCATGTTCTTGCTGACATCGCTAGGTTTGTCAGGGCGACCAAGAGGGGTGACGCTCCGGCTGCCACCACTGGTTTTCTCGGGGCAACGACGTACACAGAGCCTGAACTAAGTCCAGTATCCAGCAGCTCCCCCTTGATCCTGACTGAAAAAAAAATTCCAACACATCTCCCGCGAGAATTAGAATTGTCACGAGCGAGTAAACAGTCTCGCGACGATACCTACATGGATATCCTGCGATGTTACTGCCGTATTTCTAAACAGGGCGAGCAGACCTAAACGCGTGGCGGGGATCCGATACATCGGAAGAGTATCACTCTGAGTGCGTGAGGACTCCGAAACCCTGCTGCTCTCTTTGGTCTTTCTCTTCGGGAGGAAGGGGAATTTCTTCCCCCCGGCAGTAACGCCACGACGAAGAGTTCATCCGTCCGCTTTGATGTGTCCTGCCCTTCTTTCGATCGGGCTGACTCGGCGGGCGACCGCCCCGCTGCTGGACACGAGTAGCACCGAGGAAAAGCCAAGACACACCGCGACAACGGTAACAGCGCGAACAAGCGCAAGAACAACAACCACGCCCAGGCAAGCCAAGACATGCCACGAAGCGAGGACAAGGGCAAGAGGAACAACTACGTCAATGCTCCTGCTTAAAATGCGGGCAGCAGCATTGTGGTGCGTGTTTTGCGGTTTCGCCTCAGTCCCTACCTGCCGGTCGTTCTCGTATCCTCGGCGGCAATCACGTCCGCCGTTCTAAGGATGTTCATCGCCCTGGCGAATCAGGAGCGACACAGCGAGCGGTGGAAATGTCGGGAAAGAGGGGGTGTACTCATGTAAACGCATGCCGTAGTCGTTACACCATTGACCTCACATCCCTACAAAGCCGGGGCGTTTGGTATGTTGGTCACACGTATACCCTGCCACAGCAGTTGTCTTTTCGTATGCATAGGCTAGGCTGTGGGAGCAAATCTCTGCCGAGTAAAAAGCGCCCAGCCGCGAGAGTACACACACACACAGGGAACCGACGGCTAATCCCTTGTTGCTTAAAAAAAAAGAAGGAAAACACATTGCAGGGGGAAAGTGGAGAATAGGTTATCTTGTGTGACCCGGGCTACATAGTGCGTCAAACATACACCGAAATGTGTACAGCAGTGGACCGGCGCCCAGAATAGCAAAGAAACTTATGTATCAAAATAGTGGGAGCAACCCCGAGGCAGTTGAGATTCCAAAAACCGGCACACGCCCACGTAGTGCAGGTCTCCAAATTCAAATGCGGACGATGTTCGCGATCAAGGTTGGCGATACACTCAAGCAGATGTAGTTACGTTGAGCAAAACAACAGCAGTGCGATCGGTGCGCGACGCAAGTCTTCAACAGTGACGATGGTTCCTGTCCAAGGTGGATGCTAGACTACAGCGCTCACAGCTGGTGTTTTGGGAGGTTGCTGATACATTTGGATGCTTGGTCGTTGAATATACGTACATGCCATCTGCTAAACAAGCAACACGCGTCTTTCTGTCTTCGTTGTCCACCCGTGAGTTGCCTATTATAGTGTTCTTCACCGGCCATGACGTCCATCCGCACGAGGGTTTTGTCTGTGCGCATGTTTGTGTTTGTCAACCGTTGCTGCCGCTGCTGCTGCCGCGGGCCGCTAGAACCTGACGGAGGCACCCCCAAATATACAAGAAAAGCTGGCGACCACCATCCTCCTGTGGTGTACCTGGAACCAAAGCTACTTGACGCCCTTTCTCTACCTTCTCACCTCAGCGTGATGTCTTCCAGGTTGCCTATCGGCGTCGACACGAAGTAGACCATCCCTGGTTCCGCAACTTGACCTGGCCGCGTGCTGGCAGTTGTTGTAGTTGCTGCAGTAGTAGCAGTGGGAGACGCTCCCTCCTGCTCGCCTGCCGATTGAGACGTGGACGACAAGCTCCACGCTTGCCCGCACCTCGCCCTATTCCCGTACCCCGGCGCACCACCACCGCTGCTGCTGCCAATCTTGCCGAGGTGGAGATCTCGACCTCGCGAGGAGGACCACTTTGAAGTTGCTGGTGGAAAAGCTCCGCCGCCACCCGCATTGTCGCTGATACTCCTGCTGCTAAAGCAGCAGTGGGGGTTCAAGAGACGCCAAGGCGCAGAGTGGACAGGCCCCTGTCTTAATCTAACGTGGCGACGTTGTGCGTCCGTTGATGAACTGGGTGATACTCCTGAAGAGAACGCAAACGCTGCTGCTCTGCCCTGCCTTGTTGAGTGTGTCCTAGCCGCAGACATCAGGCACCGTCCAGTCTCCGCCATGATGATCTCTGTCAACGACAGTACTACTACTGTGACAGCAGCCAAGCCGTAGCGACCTCTGCGTTGCATACCAAATCTTCAGGGCAACTAACACCAGCCCCGGCACAGGTCCTGCACAACCCAACACACGCATTTATGCATTGCATACACCTTGGCTTTGGTCGCCATCTGCTGCTGCTGTACTGCTAAGATGAAAACGCCATATCTCATTTTTCAGCGCTCCGCTCCACCTCCCCCCCGCTCAAGGCGGCTGAGAGACGCCAGCACCGATGTAGGAGAGCGTCCACGAACCTAAGGAGTGAAGGCTGTGTGTGTGCACGCCTACCGCGGCTGTCGGCCTCACTCCAAATAGGCGAGATACCTGTTGGATGTGCCCGACGACTACGAAAAGGCGTGGGAACGTGCAACCAAGCAACCAAAGCCGCGGGACTGTCCAGACCGTCCCGTGGTTCCCGCGCGGGTGATTTCTGTTTCCATCTCTAAGTATCTCTGGCTCGGGCTGATGCCCGATGCATCTCTAGTTTCAAGGACACCCAATCGCTCCTAATTTGTGTCAGTTGGAATTTGGCTCCTTGCCGTTTTCCGTGTTCAGTTCGTGAGAGCACAAATTCGCGCGCTTCCCGCCTTGCCCTGCGACGGACGGTTACATGCAATCAACACACAGTTGCCACGATTTTCTGGTGCCGACGCACCGTTGGAGATTGTTTACTCTACTGTGCTTGGAGCTCGTCTTGCTTTGGTTGCTAGGTTACTCGGTACATAACGTAAGCTTGCAAGTGATTCCCGTTTCACAACCCACGTGCGCAGGATTCTTTGACTTTCTCGCGAGCACCCTTATTCCTCGCCCTAGAACCCAAGGACCGCCTACGCAGGATTTTAAGAGTATCTAGAAAAAGAACAGAGAGGGGGCTCGCAGCCCTAACCCTAAAGCACGGATTGAATACTGTATCCCATATGTTTGCTTCATTAATTTTGCTGCGTAGACTCCTGGGACCCAAGAAACGCATCGTAGTGGAGCGCGAAAGCCATGTACGCAAACCCCACCCAAACCAATCTCTTATTATAGTGCGTTTTCATCTCGAGCTCATAACTCCCACGAATAGACAAGCGAGCGGCCAACAGCGATGGAAGGTAACTCAAGCGGTTCTCCCCTGCCGACTGGATTGGTTCACCAGAGGCAAGAAATAATGAATCGCTACCAGTCAGGTCTGGGGTCGCAAAATTCCTCGAGACACCCGCTTAACACAAACATTCGCGAAAAATAGCCACCCAATCCCTTTGCAAACTGCCCCCGCCGCTCGTGCCCACCAAACAACAAGACAACAAACAGGCAGCCGTTTCAGCAACAACGAAGAACCCGGAGGGCGTGGAGCCCACACGCCGGACCGATGGGTCTGCGACACGTGGAACAGCGCGAGTCTACCATCCCGAAAAATCTCCGAATCCGCCGGAACCTCCCTTCTTCGTCTTCGCCTTCCCCTTTGCCGCGGCAGCGGTAGCACGCGCGGCCGCGTCAATCGCCGGGTCTGCCCAGTTGATGCTGCTGCCGCCGCCGGCCGCGCTAGCTCCGGCCGCTCTTGCCGCCCCTTCCGGCGTCGTGGCGGCCGACGAAGTCGACGCCGAGCGGGGCAGGGTGGTCGCGGCTGCGGCTCCGAGATATTTTCCCACTCCTTAGAACGGCATCGGAGGAAGGGGCAGAGAAGGCGGGAAGATCAGAACCACACCCAGGGGCGGACTCAGTGGGCATATGGCACACCCGAAGGGGAGGATGGGGGCTAACAAATAACCGGGGGGCGTCAACAAAGCCTCTATTCCCGGGTTGGCAGCACTACTCGTTGACCTTGGAGGTGACGACGTACTATTCAGAAGCCCCGGGCACGAACGCCACGAATCCCCAGGGGACACAAAGGCCTTACCCTCGGATTCTCGCACAAGTCACACATGTTCAAGAGCCAGTATCAACAGCTGTGCGTTCTGCAATGTGCCTGTGCTGGACACAGATATTCTGGTCAAGGGGGGTGGGTGGGCACATGGACAGCGCAATTCCAATTTTCCATCGGGAGGACGCCTCGAGCAAGCAAATCTTGCGACTGCTCTTACTGCAGCTCCGACACTGCTGTATACTTCTAGAACGAAGACCCCACACACAACAGCACAAAGGTTTCCGCTCAAGCGCGACGGTGCGCAAAGCAAAACAGGGAGAACGAACCGCATCATCAAACAGAAGGGCGTACCACTCCTGGCGGCGGCTACATACTACCGCTATTTTCACTGGCCTACCGGGGGTCCCGGTTTGCGGGACGCAACCGAAAAAGAAACTCGGGCACAATGACGCGAGCAGAACAAGCGCCGGGGGCAGGCAAGGACAAAGGAGAGTCTTACTCACCGGTCTTGGTGCCCGGCCGTGCTTCTGGCGTCGGGTTGCTTGCCCAGCCGATTCGGTCGTGGTCGGGGGCGAGCGGTGCGGACTTTGTCGACTTTCCTGCCTCCTCTGCCTGTTGCGCCACGGGGGGAGGAGGGCAGGTGGTATGTGGGTGAGTATCACTAAATAGATACCTATGCCTCAAACAGGATCAGTCCATAACGGCAGCAGGAGGATAGGTAATGCTAACTAGATGGCAGTATCACGACAGCAGCAGCGGGCAAACACGCAACCACAGCAGCCGAAACAGCACAAAAAAACGACCAGAAAAGCACAACCACCACTACAACAAAACCCGCAGCAGCAGCAGCAGCAACAACAACAACAACAACAACAACAACAACAACAACAATAACCTCACTTCTCGCGCGTCGATCTTGGCCTGCAGCTCTTGCTCCAGCGCGTCCTCCATCTCCGTGACGGGGTTGCTGAACACCGTCGCCTTGACCAGCACGATAGTCCTCCCTCGGCTTGTCCTTGGAGTCTGTGGGGACCGCCTCTATCGCGGCCAGCGCCGGCATGCCACTGGTCCGGTAAAAAAAAAAAAGAAGGAAAAGAAAGAGCACGGAAATTCGGCGTCGATGGCACGATGGCGCAGCTTTGAGAGGGGAACTGGGCCCTGTGTCCTCTCACGCACTTTCACCAACAAAAGCAAACAGAGCAGACAAGACTTGTTCATGCAAGGGAGGGAGAGAGACATCGTTGCGCGAGTTGAAAGGTAAGAGCGGCAGGGGTATCGACTGCTGCGCCGCTTGCTGCGATCGCAACAAGTCGGCGACGTTTCTCTGGTGAACATTGACGAGTGCAGGTCAGTGGGCGGGGTGTATCATGGCACGCGAAATGAGAAGAACAGAGAGGCGGCGAGAGAGAATCCTCCGACAGTTTTAAGCAAGCAGGCCATTCGTGCGAAACGGCACGGAAGAAGAACGGGCAAGAAGGGAAAACGAGTGCGGACACGATAGCCGAGAGGAGATGGTCTTTACCCCTCTTCCCTCCGGTCAAACATGGCACCGTGCACGCATATGTGCGTGGCACAAAAGGAAGCACGGCAGAGCGAACAACGCAAGCTCATATTTGGGATCGCTGAGACTAAAACTTTGGTTGATGCAAGGCGAGGTATAAAACCGTGTGTTTTCTCTCCTCCGGTGGACAGATCATGGGCTGCTTAAAAGAGACCATTCTATGTGTAGATTGGCCCGGATGCCCCCCTAAGACGAACGCCAAATTTCAAGTCACGTGGGGAGATCGCAACACCTTAATTGCGACCAAGGTCAGCTTGAGGGTCATCGCATTCCCAACAGCCTCCTTTTCCTGCCCCCCTTTCTTCCCTCCCTCACCCCGTTATGTTGTTTTCTCACAACTACAGACGCAAACGACAAGAATTTCACCGGCCAAAAACGCTAAGAGTTGCGCCTACAACAGTACCACAAAAACAACATGTACAGTACCGAGAAATGCCTCTCCCTCACCCGACCACCCTGCCGAAGACGGAGTGCTGGTTGTCGAGGTGCTTGCACGACTTGTACGTGATGAAGAACTGAGAGCCCGTCGTGTCCGGTCCCGAGTTAGCCATGCTCAGCACGCCCCTCTTGTCGTGCGTCATGCGGGACTCGAACTCATCCTTGATCTTGCCGCCCCAGTAGCTCTCGCCTCCCCGCCCAGACCCCGTAGGGTCTCCCCCCTTTGTTGGCGTTACGGAGACGGGGGGAGAGGGGGGGGGGCGTACTCTCATGTTACTATTGGCCACGAGATGACGGAGCATTGTTTCCAAAGGACCCATCACCGATGGCCAATCGTTCCCTCTTACTTTGCTGAAGGTGGCTCAAAACTGTTGTCCCTGGCCTGTCTATCCTATCGATCACTTCCCGCGGGGGGGGGGGGGGGGGGAAAAAAAAAGGGAAAACCCTTTGGGGAAAAAAAAACGGGGGGGTGGGGGGGGGGGTGGGGTTTTAAAACCCCGAAAAAAACCACCCCCCCCCCTAAAAAAAAAAAAAACCCCAAAAAAAAACCGTCGGGGAAAAAAGTTTACCCCCAAAATAAAAAAAAAAAAAAAGGAAAGGGGGAAAATTTTCCCTTTTCTTTTTTGGGGGGCTTTTTTTGGTCCCCCCCTTGTCCCCCAAAAGGCTCCCCCCCAAAACAATCCCCCAAAAAAAACCCCCCGAAAAAAAGCCCCCCCCTTTTTTTACAAAAAAAC